GTTTCAGTCGATAAACAATACTGTCACAACGATCTTAAGGCTCATGGGCAAAGGTGTCACAGTGATTCTGAGGCTCTTGATGTCTCAATCAACGAAAATGGATATAGTGCCGTTGCAGGTTTGTCCTTTCATCACTCTGAGGTCGACACAGCAGTGACCTCGGTGGTTGATTCGACATCAGCGTCGGGAGCGCTACTGTTAGAGAATGTGAACGAGAGCTGGGACGAGAAAGACGACGAGATGTTTGGCTCGATTGTTAAACCTGCGATTGGTGATGTCTTAGAGCGTATTTTGTCTCTCAGTCCGGTCAACAATGATTCAATCTCGCCAACACACCGGGACGCTACAGAGGCCGCTACTGAGGCGCAAGAGGATCTTCTTTTTGAGCTACTGCATGTTTTTGACAATGTTAGTCAACAAAAAGGTCTACTTCGGCTAGTTTTGCGAAGTCTGGCCGATTACACGAATGCTGTAATATCTCCTACCAAATCCAGTGTCAACGGTCCAAATTAATTTGAAGTTTTGTAATAAAGGTGTTTTGTTTGAAGCTATTAAATTACTTACGACAGTAAGTCATCAGTTTTTAGTTTTCATTTAATAGCTGTGGGGAATACAATATAATTGTTGCAACGCAAGCTACTAAAGTATGTTACATGCATTAACGGTACACTATCTTACGATAGTGTAAAGATTGAAGGATCTGCATGCATCAAGACGATTGGCTAAATGGCTGCAACACTTAAGAAAAATATTTGCTATACGTCACCATTTTCAAAGCAGCTGATATTTGGGCAGCAAGGCTATTCTGCGCACCCTTCATTGGTAAGAAAGAGAGATCAAAGGTGTGTCATGAGGTCAGTCTGGAGTGTCAAGCAGATAATTGTCCTGAGACAAATGTATACCATATTTTCCGGTATGTAGAAACTGGAATCAAAGCATATATAAACACAGGTATGATGTTATGATTACACATACATGTTTTTTCATTTGAGCTTCACTATTTAACATATTCTTTCATCTATGCAAAGCAAAAAATATGCCAAAATCCCAGACAAGGTGCTACGGTACGCTTGGTACCTTCAATCAACGTTTTCATCAGAAATCTGCTTCTTGATGAGAAAGAAAGGCAGGCGTCACAGGAACGGAGTTGCCGAACACCTTGCACAGAGAGCACGCGTTGGACAGAAAGTCCGCGTCAGCAACGCACATAAGCTGGGGATATATGATCCACCCAAGAGCAGATCCGAGAGCCTCTCAAGTAGCTATATTTTTTCAGTTTGCTCATTTAAACGAAACATATTTAAATTGGCTAACTCATACATATGTTTACTATCTGCAATGCAAATTTTTTAGTTATCGCATACGATGAGACTAGCAGCCCATGTCCCTCGGACCTGACCTTTACGGAGGAGGATCATTTCAACAGTACTGGTAATTTGTCAATTTTGAGGATTGCAAAATGTACGTACACCGTGATGTTATACGTGCCAGTAAAATCACCCCCTAGCAAAATATGGCACACACTGGGGTTCAACGGAATATGTCGTTATTAGACATTGCGCAACAGTAAGTGCTCAACGTCTAGCTGGTTCCTTTCTCGATTCGTATCACACAGTATGTAACGGGGTTACACGTACACGTACCCTGGTAACAGGGGTGTGTGTCACACAAGATGTGCATAATGAGACTGCACCCAAACAAGAATATGCTATGTGGCTAGGTAGCCAGTAGTTTTGCATGTATTTAGATTTTACTAAATACATTACTATATATATTTAGGATATTTGGGAAAATCTAAACTTTTAAAATTAGGATAAAAAAATCAATAGAAATCAGTTCGAATTTAAACGGAAGAGTCAATTAGCCTTGGGAAGGCAATAATTACTCTTGGAGTAAGCGGATTGCGATCTGCTATGTCGCTCTTGTTCTAAGTATAGAACGGACGGTCGGTGACCTAAAATACGCTCCCTCTAAGCGCAACGCTACAGCAGCCCGCTGCACTTGGTAGCCATTGTAGTCAGTCTACACCTGAGTAGTTTAGACTGATCCTTTGTGAGGATGGAATAATTTTCCTCTTTGCCACAGGGCATGCAGGACGGGCTTAACAAGCTGATGTCTTTGCTTGGCCCTGGAGGCGTGCAACACCTTGCGGCCCAAGCCCCCGAGGCAATCGGTGCGCGTCTAGAGCCGTTTTCAAATTGCGAAAT